GACGCAGGAGCCCGCCTCGCGTCGTGGTGACTCACCAGCGCGTCCTCATGCCCCGCCCAATGGGACCTGGTAGGGATCCTGGACCTTCTTTCCACAAGCCCTCTGCTAGAGAAGACCCCCGGAGTGTAATACCCTGTCTTAGAAACAAGGGTTTTCAAAAGTCCTTAGGTCTTAAGATGATGAACAAAACCCCAGAAATTCTGTTTCTTTGTTATGGGGTGCGGCCACAACATTAGTAACAAAGAAACAGAATTTCCGGAGGATGAGGCCCAGAAATCAGGATTTTAAAAAGGTTCCCAGTTGATTCTAATGTGCAGCCCAGGTTGAGAACCACTGATCTAGACATTAGGAAAATGAGAAATGGTCAAGCAACTGAAAAAAAGAAAAAGTGGCCTGTGAGAACCAGGAGAACAGGAGAAAGTGGTGTCCTGCAGGGAAAGCAAAGGTTGTTTCAGGTGGGAGGGAGCCATTTGTCAAAGGCTGCTGACAGGATGAGAAGAAGAGACCTGAGAACTGAGTGGAGATCACTGATAAAGCTGATAAAAGTGCTTTTGCTGTTGGGGAAGAAGCCTGATTCTTTCCAGTCGGCTTAAGAGAGAATGTAAATACATTAAAGGCAGCAAGTCTGAACAGAACAAACATTACTCACAGGAAAAAAGGAGGTACACACACAAAGGATACCGGGAACCATAAGCCACACTGATAAGGATCAGGAAAGGCAGAGGTACTGGCATTTCTGAGCACAGGAGCAGAATGACTGCTGCCAACTCCAAGCAAACACGTGTCATTCAAGTTCATCTACTCTCCTGTCTCTGTTCCTCCCAACCTGAGGAAGCTGCATTAACTCATCAGACTCTCCGCAAGAATTATCACCACCTTGATCACATTTTATTTTTTTATAAATATATTTGTATTGATTTCAGAGAGGAAGCGAGAGGGAGATAGAAACACCAATGAGAGAGAATCATTGATTGGCTGCCTCTTGCACTCCCGTACTGGGGATCGAGCCCGCAACTCGGGCATATACTCTTGATCAGAATTGAACCTGGGACCCTTCAGTCTGCAGGCCGACGCTCTATCCACTGAGCCAAACCAGCTAGGGCCCTTTATCACATTTTAAATTCCCTTTCCTTGTATCTCTTCTCTAAACTCTTAGTGTTGGAGTACTCCAGGGCTGACTCCTCACTCTTCTTATCTACATTTACTCCCTTGATCTCATCCAGTCTCAAAGCTCTAAATATGTATATGCCCATGACTCCCACACTTCTAACTGTATTCATACCTTTCTCTAAATCAAAATCCAATTGCATACTGGATATTTCCACTCAGCTGTCCAATAGATTGAACTGCTAATCTCCTCACTACAAACCTCTTTTATTCACAGACTTCTGATCTTGGCTGATGGCAAGCTAAGCCATCCAGGACGAGATCCTGTCAAAACCTCCATTCCCATCAGCAGGAGAACCTTGCCCAGTGTCATCCTATTAGTCCTTGACAAAGCTGCTACCCAAACTCCAGCAGTCTGATGGGACATGTACTCTTAACTATGGTGCTTTGGCAAGGTTGCACAAGGATATGTCTAGAACAGTCCTTTTTAAAATTTTTAAAATTGATTTTTAGAGAGAGATAAGAGAAAGATTGAGAAGTATTGATTTTGTTGTTCCACTTATCTATGCATTCATTGGATCTTCTTGTATGTGCCCTGACCACGGATCAAATCTACAACCTTGGCATATCAGAACTATGCTCTAATCAACTGAGCTACCTGGTCAGGGCAGAACAGTCCATGTTTGTTAAATATACATCTGGATTTGTAAGAAAATGCCTAAGAGGATATATACCAAATATATTTGCAATGTGATCTCTGAATCCATAAACTAAGGATTGATGTTTTTTCTTATTTATATGTATATTGTACATCTACAACAATGAAAATATATTACATTTGTCATAAGGAAAACATCCTAACAATGTTTTTTTAATTCAGGGTTCCAGATGGATTTAATTTCCTTTGATCATTCTCTGTGTCATAATCTCATTCTATAAATTTTTAAACATTTTTATCTTTATTGTTGAAAGTATTATAGATGTCTTTTTTCCCCCACCATTGACCCCCTTCTCCCCAACTTCTGTCCCCTCCCCAGGCCTTACTATTGTCTGTCCATGGGCTATGTATATATGCATACAAATTCATTGGTTAATCTCTTCCCACCCTCCCTTCCATAAATTTTTTAGTTGTTCAACCCTGATGTCAGAAGTTTACAGGGCATTCTCAGGCAGATTTCTTGGTATCCCTGGCTGAGACGAACTATAGAGCTGCTACCACCATATCTCTGACACAGTGTAGTGTTTCCATTTTACAGTGAGGCTATAGTAAGGACGTTGTTGGGTTTGTCTTAATCTCATAAAGTATCATCTCAACCTTTGAACACCCTTTTTTCACATCCTAAATAGAAGTTTTCTGAACATAATTACAAAGACCTCCCCTGGCTTATATTCAGTAAATAGAAATAAGTGTTTGCTATTTCACCAGTGTCTCAAGAATATTGGTTTTTCTGAAGGTGAAAGAAAAACAAACATGTCCACATTTCTCTCTCCTTAAGAAAAATAGTATAAAAGGAAATACTTAAGGCTAAAGAGGCTGTTGCCTGCTACTAACTATTGCATGGATGCTGGCCTCCACTGCTGGAACGAGTGAATTGTCTAGGCAAGGGAAGAAGAGAAGAGAGTGTCTGTGTGTAGGAGAGGGGAGAAATTTCCAGTTTCTGATTAGTAAACTGCCTTTCTTAGAGCTCTCTTTGAACAAATATTGGCAAGTGGCCCAGAGTCCCAACTTGTGGCTGTTTGAACTTTGCTAAAGGACTTTAAGGGAAGTCTGTTGTTCTTAAATGGAAACTGTAAATCATTTGTAATGGAAAGAATGACAAAAGAAAAAAAACCCTTCCCTTATAACGACTTTCTTATTCCTGTTATTTCCCTGACAAATGATTTCACTTGTCTACAGAGTATAATGCAGACACTTCGGTTTTGTTTTGTTTTTTCATAATGCTTTCTTTCCTAAAGGCCATGTTTTCAAACAAATTATTGAAGGTAATTCCTACTTTTTAAATCAAGAACAAGGTTACACTTGGACTTTGCGTTTCTGATAAAGAATTCAGCAAAACAAAGTTTGATATGACTAACACCATAATAGTCCTAACTTACCTTTGTCCGGCTTTTACAAGTTTTGAAGGCACTTTCATATACATGCATTCTATTCTCTTGACGTCTCAGATAGTAGATATTATTAACCCTATTTTAGAAATGGAGAACATGGGACACAGGGAGATGGGTCAGCCTACTCAGGACCATTTCAGCTGGTGGATGATAGAGGGGTCCATCTTGCAGGCCTTTTAGGAGCACCAGAGGCACGTCCTGTTTCCCCGAGATCAACAGAAAACAGCTACTGTGCAAATGAGTACACCTCCACCATCTTCAAATGTCAATTTTCTTGTCAAATTCACACCTGTATTTCTCAAAGCCAATAAATCACATCTACAACATTCATTCTGGTTCTTATTAGCTACCCTCAAAGAAAAAAAAATCTCTTTACTCATACCCAAACTATCCTACGCTACTCTCCCCCCAACTTTTCTCACCACTGCGTCTTTTGAAACTTTTTCCACTATAAAGGCATAATTTCACTGTAAGTATTCTGAATCTATAACCTCAACCTCTTCACCGAACCATACCTTCACCTCTTTTAACTGAACTCTGGCATTCCATCAAGACGTCTCTTCCCTGAGACCTGACAAACAAAAATGTCTTTTCTCCCCACCTTCCAACATGCTAAGAGATTTGGAAGCACTGTTGGCACTCTCTGAGTTTCTAACTGCCAGTTCCAGGTGGCTTCATTTCTACCGGTATGCAGCTTCCCACTCCCTGCCCCCTTTTGAATTGCATGCTATAGCATGGAGCATAGTCACCATCATCCGCTGGGTTCTAGGCCACTGCCTCTGATGCACAGAAAGCTTCAGCACCTGACCCACAGATGCTGCCAAACTCCAGCTGTTATCTCAGGCAACAGCCTTGGCATACGAGTCACAGCTTCTCAAGCACCTGGATTCCAGCGCCCTTTGCCTCAATTCCTCTTCAACATAGCTCATTCCGGTGGCAAAACCCTAACTTTATGCTTACCCAGAGTCCCTGAAAACCTGAACTTCAATATCTCTCTTTTTAAATGTTTTTATTTTATTTTTTTATTGCTTAAAATATTACAAAGAGTAGTACATTTGTTTCCTTTTCAATTTCTCTTGCAGACCTCGGCAAGCGCTCATCCCAGCAACTTTCAAACTCTCCCAACTTCTTAGTACTATCTGTTCTGGATCTTTCTTCAATTCTTTGTCACCCTGCCATGAGCTGGGGAGTCAGGCTCCCTCTTGAAGCCCATTTCTACTATTTAGTAGTGATTACACCTTGAACAAGTCCTTCATTTTTCAGGTCCCCCATTCCTTCAATTTGGAAATAATAATGGTTGTGCCTATCTCATGATCACCGCAAGTTATTATGAAGCTTAATTGAGATACTATATGTCAACTGTTGAGAAGACTACCTAGCACACAAGTGTTCAATAAATGTCTACTGTTATTACAACTGAACTGCTTGATGCTGCTTCTATTTTAAAAAATCACATAACCAACCGAAACCGGACCAACACATGCCCAAATCTATAAAACAAAACACAAACCAACACCTGGTTTTTATCACGTCTAGGGCATGTCCCTGGGTATATTTAAAAAAATCACATAACCAAATTAATAAGTACCAACACATGCCCAAATCTATAAAACAAAACACAAACCAACACCTTCCTTTTTTCACCCGTCTCTAGATACCGACAATTTAAGGACGACTCTTAGAAAATACCTTTGTAGGGCCTCAGACCCTGTGATTATCATCATGTTAACTATGTGTCCTCCTCGCCAGTAGATAGGATTAACTGACTAATGTCTATTATACTTAAAGCAGGAACAGCAAGGATTTCATGTGACCTCTTCCCAGAAGACAGACTAGGAGAAACAGGCAGAAGACATGAATAGACATCTGCCAAACAAGAAAACGTGAATGGCTAAGAAACATATTCAAAGATGTTAATAGATAGTAGAGACTTGTCTTTGTTTGTTGCATGTATTTAACATGCCAGGTGGCTCAACTGGTTGGAGCATCGCCCCATATACCAAAAGGTTGCAGGTTTGATATCCTGTCAAGACATGTGGGGCTCCCTCTTATCAATGTTTCTCTTTCTCTCTCTGTCTCTCTCTCTTTCTCAAAATCAATAAGGAAACATATCCGTAGGTGAGGATTAATATATACGCAAATTACACACACATGACATATGGCTAATTTTGTGAATATATAAAGAAAGCTTACAAATCAGTAAAATAATGAATAATTCAGTAGGAAAACGTACAAAGAACTTGGACAGAATATTCAGGAAAAGAGATATAAACATAGCCAACACATAGAAAGCTACACAACATCATTCATAATTAGAAAATTAAAATTAAAATATCATTTTGGCAAAAATTAAAAAGATATTAATATTACCAGTGTTGGTGAGGCTGTGAGGTAACTAACTGGCATACTCATACACTGTTGGTATAAACTAGTATAACTTTTATGGAGGAATAACTAATAGCATCTTTTAAAATAAAAAGCACACTCTTTGACTCACTGCTAAAACTTATCTCAGAAAAATACAATCATAAAAGCACAAATCTTCATATACAAGAGTGTTCATGAAGAATTCTTTGTAATAGCCAAAAAAAAAGTTCATTAATGAAGAACTATTTCAGCAATAAAGGATGGGATACATCTACAAATATTGATACAAAATATTGTTCATTATATATTGTTAAATTAAAAAGGCAAACTGAAGAACAGTATGTACAGTATGCTTGTTTATATGAAGAAGATATAGGTAAGTATATATGCATAAAAATACTCGAAAAGGAAATACAGGAACTTCTTGTGGTTGTTACCTCTGGAATTGTAAGGAGGGAAATGTTTGCTTTTCATTAAACTTCCTTCTGTGCTGTTTGAAAACTACCATGAACATGTATTATTAGTTCTGTAATTCAAAAAAGAAAGCTTCAGTTAAAAATATCTGAAGAGCAAATGGGAGCCATTGCAATATGTCTGAAAACAAGTTGTTAGAAACTATGTTGTTGTCTTAGAAGATGAACTTTTCTTTGCAACTTTCACATTATTAGTTGATTCCTCATTATGAAGAAGGAATTTATCCATTATTTTATCTAATAAGTAGTAGTGCTTATTTTATGCCAGGTACCATTTTAAGTGCTTTAATCATCATATAGTCATGGGGTGGTTGCTATTATTATTATCCCCACATTGTAGAGACGGAAAATGAGGCACAAAGAGGTTCAATTACTTACCAGGTTCTCTTCTCTTATGCCTTTCGATCACCCTTCATTCTAACAGGCTGATGTTGAAACTTTCTCCACATAGAAGCAGGTTGCCTGGGTGTGCAGAACTGTTGTCTGAGGCATTCTTGGTGGTTCCTTGGTGGTTCTGAGAATGGATGCACAATTCTATGTAAAGAATTAAATTGTTTAATCTTCTGTGGTCCCTCATGCATTGTGGATGGGTTGTGCCTACTGAGGGATATGACATCCTACAGGGCTGCCATGGGCAGTAAACTGTCCCCTGTAAGAACAAAACACATGCCAATGGCCAAGGCATGAAATTTTTGAGACAAGGACTGGGCAGTGGGAGAGGTTTTTATTACCGTTGGTTAGTGATGAGAATCAGTAATCCTATAGAGAGCCAAGTTTTCAGTTTGAAAAGACTCTCAGGGAATGTGGCCTTTTGCTCACTTTATTAACTATGTAAACAGTGAGACACACACCATTATGTTAGGTGGTGTGAAGATCCATAACAACAGAGACAAATCAAAGTACTCAGAACTAAAGGTTCTCTTTTGGTGAGGGAGTAACAGTCTAAGTTCATTGCTGATGATATATGATTTGGCTGAGCCATCTCTTGGTCTTTATCTAGAGCTGTGCTGTTCAATACAGCAGCCACTGACCACATGCAGCTAAATTTAAATGAATTAAAGTGAAATGAATAAAAAATTCAGCTCCTCCATCACCCAGGACCCATTTCAAGTGTTCAAGACTAAAATGGGAGCTAGTTGCTACCATAAAGGACAGTGCAAATTCTGGAATGTTTCCATTATTGTAGAATGTTCTAATGAGCAGCATTAATCTAGAAAATAAACAATATGTCACCAAAGATATTCTATAAAGAAACACCATTTTGATGGCTTGATTGACCACACCTGAGAGGCCCTATCTAGTTTTTATTTTCAACCGCTGCAGATTTTAAATAGAAGGGATGACAGTAAGAACTTAAGATTTTGGGGGTGAATTATAAAGCCTAATTTGAAGGCACCTTCCTTCAGGGGATCACTATGGATACTGGCCATAGAAAAGGAGGTGGGAGCAGAGGATGAATGCTCTGAGGTTAGGATTTTCCCTGAATGAGAAGGAGTGTGTGACCTGATTAGGCAGAAGGAAGTGGTTAAAGGTACTTCTGATACTTACACAAGGGGCACATACGGCTGACCTTGTTCCTGGAACTTGCTTTGGTTCCTGGCCTCCTTACTTTTCTTTATCTGATTATATTGGTAAAAATTGGTTAGGCATCTTAAGTACACACATCTTAGCTTCCATTTCTCAATGCCTTTCTCAAGAGGAAAGTAGTTGTTTCATTAGTCTTGTTTCACATGCCTCTAAACTTTAGAAGGAATTTAAGCATGGGAAATCAAATGAAGGGCAATAATACTTCTCACACTAGTTCAGGGTATCCCTAGTGGCTTGTAGCATGGGGACATATCTAAATCTTTTTCAACAGAGTCTAGTGAGACATTTGATTGCCCTCTCCCACCCAAGTCTTTTGATGTAGACTCATAAACTGAGGAAGTGAGAATCAGTGAAGACTTCCCGAGGTCTTCATCTTTCGGGGTGGCGGACAGGATGCCAAGGAAAGCTGATCAGAGGATAACGTGTCCATTGAAATGAGAAAGTAGGTCAAAAGAGATTGTTAAAAGGAGAAGAAAACTATTCAAAGAATAGCTAGAAGGATAAAACACAGGGAAAGTGGTAGATCTTGGGCCAAGATTGTCCCTAGTAACTACAACAGAGGCAGTTTTCATGAATTGGTGAGAGAAGAGGAGGATGGCTACAGGGATTGAAGAGGGTATTTGCAGCGTGGCATTAAAAATAAAAATAAAAACATGAGTGCTGGACCTTATTTAGTCTTGGCTATTTCATCATCATCTCACACAAATAAAAACTCTAGTGTCCAATAAATACCGGCTGAATGAATCCTTGGCAAAGAAAATCAGACTGAATGCATAAATTCCTTTATTGAAAATATTGGGCTAGCACTGCATTACATATATTCAATATTCATAAATGAAGGGCCACACATTTCTGATTGGGCAACACTGTTTTAAGTAGAGAACACAGCATCTGGATATGCTCTCACAAGTACGTGTAATATCATGGACTAAACTAGGTAAGAGTGAGCTATATGCAAAATGACTGTTTTGTTTGTTAATAGCATATGGTTGCAAATGGCATAAATGGTAAACGTGATCATCATGAGACATTCCTGATATCTCACACCAACACATGATTTAATGAGCAGCTTAAGGTTAAACTGCCAGTATGTTTTTCATCAAGAATTCTCAATAGAAGAACTCAGGAGAAAGCACACCCAGGCTACAGACTTCAGATTTTCAGCATTCATTTAAACTTGTATGGAATGTCAGTGGAGTTAGGTAACTGTTGATCTGACAAAAGGCCACTTGGCAATTTGTTCTCTTTTATAAACAGTCCAAAATAAGAGAATAATCTAAAGGAAATATTCTGCCCACTTAAGGCTTACATTCTAAGAACTGTTTTATTTTTCTAAATGCAGTTATATAAATACTACTTTTGTTATTAATTTTTTCCTTCCGAGATGACTGGGGATGTAAGTTATGACAGACCACCTCTCAGCTTTGGCTATTACTTGAACATGTGTTACATTAGCAGTCTTTGGCTTTCATAAAAGTCTGGCAATCAATAATATTGGTTAAACTTTAACAAGGTTTTATTATTATATTTAACAAAACAGTGTTTTATGATGTTAAAAATGGGTTGATGTTAAAAAATAGGCTTTACTTTTTGTTCCAATTTTGGTATGAATGCATTTCTTTGCATTGTTTTTTCTCAAACAAGGGAGTCTAGAGACCAAGACAATTGGGCTAATTTGATATTTTCCATTTGATATAAAATATGCAGAAATTAAAACACTCAGTCCCTTTAAAAACAGAGGCCTGTTTGATAGTGTAGAAACTTGGGGGAAATTATGTGAAAACACTATGAAAATAAAGTTTTTGTTACTAACCACAAATGATTTTGTAAGAAACAAACCATTTTCTATTCCAAAGCAGGGTTTGTTCTACTCTAGGTTCTTAAAGGTATCCACTTCTGTAAATATCAAGTCATAACTGTGAGAAATGGCTTACTCTTCTTTACACAACTATGTTCAGAGCAAGTAACTAAAAATATACCTTTTTAATGACTACATGGAAAGCTGGCCTATAACAGTCAAATCAATGAACATTGGTGATGAGTTTTCTAAAGTTCACAATTAAGCATATATATATCCATGTATATGCTGTTTAAGATCTATCACCCTAAACAATCAGGGCAAAAAAAGCTCAATATAAAACTATATAAATCAAGTGGAATTGTCGCCAAAACATAGCACACTTCTTTATTTCAAGATTTGACACATTAAAAGAAAAAAACTGGCAACACATTTTAGACAATATACTAGAAATAATAAATAAAAGTTTCCTTTAAAAAAATCATATACAAATTCCCTTGAAGTGCTGTACACTTTCAATTTTTCTAAACGAGACTAACCTTTCCCATGGCAAACAATAGTATGCTGTACATTTTGGTAATGAAAATTATGTTGATAAATACACAAGGCATGTATATATTTCCACAGTATCTTTTTTTTTTCACAGTTACCAAAAATAAAAATTGCATTCAACTCATACATCTATAAATACTCTGGTTCTTCACTGTATGGATTTGATGAAACTGGGAGTACAAGTCTCTCAACAATCTGGACTTCCAATCTCTCTGGTCAGTGTCTGCCCTCCACAGGCGCCTCCCAGGATCTCTCTGCAATGTGATCGTGCTCTGAGATGACGGCAGGAAGAACGCATGGCGGTGGGAGGAGGCAGTCTGGGCTGGGGCTTTGTCTTCCAGCCAGCTTTAGGGGAGCTGACCAAACCCTTTCCTTTTAATGTTGTATTTTAAGGCAGCCTGAATTTCACTCGAATGTCCATACCTCGAGGTCCTGAACTATGAAGTCTTCCTTTTTGGAAAGAATATCATTATTGAAAGTGCTACAGGAATTGCTTCGGCCATGGTATAAATCAGCATCTAGCCATAAACCAAATCGTCCCCTGAAAAGGTTAAAAAAAAAAAAGGGTCAACTCATTTCAATCTTAGGCGGCGCACTTTCTGTCCTCCCCTGCCCCGTTCTTCTTTCATTTATGCTACAGAGAGGCAAAAACCCTAAATTGCTTGTAAAACAAAGGGTACATTTCCTTTAATTCATTTAAGTGATCTGTCTTTCCTAAAAGGCAAGTGGTAGCAGTGCCTCATTTAGACACATAAATAAACTATTTCATCTCTCATTCTTAATGTCATGGGAGGCCACTGTCCTATCCTAATTAATGTGAGCACCAGGACTAGCTAACATCAGCTGGCACCAAGGTTTTGGTTACCACTCCAGTCAGGTGGTAAATTAGTAACAACAATGAAAACCTTACCCTCCACCACCAAGTTCTAAGGAACTTATGTCTCCATTGATAAAGTATGAGTTTTCTCCACTCCACTTAAAGACCTTAGGATAGAAACACAAGACAGAAAACAGTCATTTTAATCTGGAGTCTTAACAAAAAAAAGAAACATTCGACTATTTCCTCTGGACTACCCATTGGCAAAGAAGCACCTGACTGCCAGGCCTTCTCCACCCCAGGAGGAGACCTCCTAAGGCAGCGGTTCTCAACCTGTGGGTCGCGACCCCTTTGCGGGTCGAACGACCCTTTCACAGGGGTCACCTAAGACCATCGGAAAACACATATATAATTACATATTGTTTTTATGATTAATCACTATGCTTTAATTATGTTCAATTTGTAACAATGCAATTAGGGGTCACCACAACATGAGGAACTGTATTAAAGGGTCACGGCTTTAGGAAGGTTGAGAACCACTGTCCTAAGGGGTTATGAAGTCAGATCTCCCAGGCCATGTTCACTCTGACCTGCAATCCCTCCCTAGACTCCAGAGCAGGCAGAAGAGCAGTTCCCAAGGTCCCTGGAGGGACCCTGAGCAGTTCGTGTACTATAGTCATCCTGTTGACCCAGGCTGGAGGGAGTCCAGATGGGGTCACGGGACAGCTGCTGCTCCAACCTCACCCACACCCCGGACACTGTGACACTGGGGAAGTCAGATATTCTCCTATCTAGGTACCTTGAAATTGGGGCTAAATGTGTAGAGAAAAGTTTCGCCTGTGCCGTAATAGTGGTCACTGAACTTGAAAGGATGAGTGGCATATGCTCCGAAAATCTGTTAAAAAAAGAAAGAAAGAAATATTATCTACTTTCAAACCTAAACCACCCAAAGACTTTCTGAAATGTGTTAACACAATCCTGAGATCTCATTTTACCTCTTTCAGCAAAGACCCTTACTAAATTGGAGCTCTTAAATAAGGACCACCAACACAGAGACACAGCAAATGTCCCCAGCTCTAACTAGAATCCAAGAGGCTCAGAGAACTTATTTGTCAAAGGCCAACAACTGTTTCCATGTTAAAAGACTTCCAAAGTGCACCAGGGAGACAAGTTTCCTTTAATGACTGCAGCCAACACAATGGGAACATTAAACAAGAAGCATCTTGCACGCAGAAATGAGTGGTTGAGAGAACAAAGTCAAATCTTTTTCGTTTTATAAGTGGAACTGTAGCCAGACATTTTCCCAGAGAAAATCAATTTTTCTCTTTTGATTTGTAAAAATGAGTTCTCAACATGCTTACTAAAACTATCCTTAACATGACTGATCAACATATATCTTGGTTCAAATTGGCTTTTAAGAAAAAGCCAACAGTTCCATAGACTACAGGCTTTAAAGGTGATTTTGATATATTAGAATCAATGGTTCTTCTATTTTTCCTTGTTGGGGGTTGGAAGGAGCAGCGTTTTCAGACGTAGCATGTCTGCAGCCTCAGCGTCCTCTGCTTCTGCTGGGATCCTGGTCAGTAGTGTTAGGAGTGAGGGTTGGCAAGAGTGAGCCTATGTGTTTTCAAAAATGTAGGTAATTCTGATATAGCTTCTATTCCAAATCCCTATTGAGAAATGCTGCCTTTAAATGGGGGTTATCTGGAAAACGTAATTTTTCAAAATTATTTTAATTGAATTCTAATCATTGTGGAATCTCAGTTCCTGGCTCCTTGAAATGCTAAAAATTAGGTAGAGGAGAAGTCTAGAAACCCTTTCTAACCAATCGTCCCCTGAAAAGGTTAACCAAACCTTTCCATACTTCCTGCTACCAAACCTTCCCAGTTTGCTGCTAAGAATAAACGAAAGCAAAACTAACAAAAAGGTAAAAAATCCATTCCCTTCTTCTGAGGATCTTCCAGTAAAAGAGCTAAAATTCAATTGAGCTGGGCATCTATCTTTAAAAGCATGTGCTAAAATATAACAAGGGCAATGGCCATACATGGAATACAGTGGGCCCCCTCCTGATCAATGAACAGAAAAAGGCATCCTTACTTTTTTATCCTCCACAAGAGTCTAAATAATTAGATTCTTTCTTTGCTAAACTTTTCTTAGCAACATGGAAATCTGTTTAAGGACCAGGATTGGATGAGACTAGGGAATTAATATTGATTTTGTTAGGTACTAGTACATAGCATTGTGGTTATATAAGAAAATGTCCATTTTATATTAACTTTTCTATTAACTTTTTAGAAAATTATACAAAATAATATGCACATAATAGTACTGTTGGATCTATAACACATAAAAATTTAATATATTAGGCAATGTCAGGACACAGGAATCCATGAGAATAACTGAAGACAGCCAGAAGTGGTAAAAGGAAGGTTAATGTAACAAAACTGGTAAATATATGTTTGCTCTCCTTTCTTCTTTCAGCTTCTTTAGTAGATAAAAAAAATTATATAAAGTAGTCATGACAATTTATTGATGGGTTTATGATATATATCAGTGTAATATGTACAAAAATTACCATAGAAAGTGGAATGATATAAAGGCAGCAACTGCCCTGTCTGGTTTGGCTCAGTGGATAGAGCATCGACCTGCGGACTGAAGGGTCCCAGGTTCGATTCTGGTCAAGGGTTTAAAAAAATAAAATAAAAATAAAGGCAGCAACTTTGAGGAGAGCTTCAGAGCTCTGAGCTTATGGTCTGTCTCTTCCCCTGGAGGTGGAGCTCGGGACTCTGCAGAGCTGGGGGCTAGATAAATAATCTTGTTTTATGAGCAGGATGTGGGGCAGGCAGAAGCTGGTCTTGGCTCACCTCACCTGACATGACACGTCTGCCCACAGGCTGGGACAGTGGCAGGAGAAACCCCTGTGTTCTCAGCCTCCCAGGCCCGGGTACAGCATCTGTCCTATGAGTAGGGGCAGGTGGATGAAGAGAGCGCTTTACCTCTAGGCCACACAGATATGGAATTTAGCTCCTGAAACGGTGTTCTCGGTCAAGGGCTGGCGACTTGCCCCTAGAGAAGGTGTATCATAACCCTGGCCTGGGAGAGGGAGCCCCACCTTCTGTCTGTCAGTCTGAACTGGGGGTGAGTGGAGGCAGCAGGCTGTGCTTCAAGTGCCACTGAAGCTCACCATTACCGAAATTCGTTATATTTGCTTGAATGAATGTTTTTTCACTCGTATGCCCTGAGGACAATTTCCAGAGACTTTATGTGATGACTATTTTCGTAATTCCCACGAGTATGGCTGTTTCACTGGGGACTGCATCTGCAGAGTTCCTTCCTGCTGCCATTCTGCATAGGTAATATTTTTATATTAAAATGTTCATTTCCAGAGAAATTTATAACTACTGTTCTACCATGTTCCCAAACACAGCAAAGCCACAATCTTGCCTTGCGGGTAGATGGGATGGGGTAAGAAAGTTAGGTGTCTTCAAACAGTACCAGTGGCTTGAGAGTACCAGATTCTGTAAGGTCCACCCTTGACAAGCAGTGTAGAGGCATTCTTTACATATGTGCTAACAGGAAGCTGGGTGGAGAGAAAGCTGGGTGGAGATGGGTTTCATCAGCACTTGCCCCAGGCAGCCAAGACATTCCCCAACAAGTGTGTTATCTTATGTGAGGATTTATGTCTGTAGTCTAAAGCCATCTAGCCTTATCACATCTAAAACACTGCACCCGACCTCTCAAACATCTCACTAAATCCCTAAGTAATTCTACTTTAAACCTCTGTTTTTACTATTTTAATTTTTGACTTGACTCTACCCACTATTCAGCTGAATCATGGTTAAGTATATTAACCAGGAAACAATAATAGTAACAATGATAACATCTAAACTCCTCCAGAACTCCTAAGCTGCAATAGTCACAGGAACAAACCCAGTTGAGAAAGAATGCCTCAATACCCCATTTCTCTGTTAATGTTTCCCCAAGGCAAACTATGACAGTAAAGATCTATTTCCTCTAAAATGATCACAATTATATGGCTTCACAGCAAGCTCTTCAATGCTTAATAGTGTCCTACATGTAATAGGCATTCATTATACATTTTATGAATGAATGAATGAATGGCTGTTGAATAAAACCTGCTTCAATACCAGAAAGAGAGAAGAAGAGCATCTATATCTTAAAAAATGTAAAGGAATTTCTTCTTGGTATACAATACACACAAAACAGAAATAAAGAAAGAACAGACTTGAAAGAGACCTTCCTTCTGTGAAGCAGGAGCCTGACTGGGTGTTAGATAAAAGATTCCAGGGAAGATTCTACTTGCATTCCAAGATGATTGAGGTGAGGAGTACTAGTAGGTAGATGGGGAAATATCTAGATTTCACCAGTGCCTCCAAGACCGACCACCACAGAGGTAAAAGTGCAATGAGCCACAGCAGAGCAGTCTCCCTGCTGTTTCATAACAATTGGGCTCTTCCAGTACAACACACTACGGCCTTGTCTAGCTCTCCATCTCAGCAACCATTCAGGCAAGGTTTGTGGGTACTACTTCAGCCACCTGAAAAAGTCCTGGTAAGGCACTAGAATTTCTTTCTGCAGTTACCACCAAATCCAGACTTGACTTTCTCCAACTATTCCAGCTTTAGGTTGCAGAATATGATTAGAGTTTTCTACTGTATGGTAAGTACATGTAAAAAACTCCTCAGAATGTGACTGTACTTGGAGATATGCTCCATTTTCTTTGTTTAGAGATGCATTTTTGAAGTGTGACTTAATAATTGGGATTTACTCCAAAACACTCCAGCAAAGAAAAACCAATAAAGAAAAGGCAGATGAAGCTTATGTGGCAAAATCCTGCTAACTTGTGGGATCTGGGTGATGGGAGTTCCTGGTACTCATCTCTACTGTTGTGTAGCTTTGAAAATCTTTATTTAAAAAGAAATGTTTTCTAAGAGAGAAAGAAGCCTCACCTGATTATCCATGTCTTTGATAACCAGCAGGACAGGACTGTCTAGCGATGCTGATTTCCGATAGAGGGTTTTCAAGCTGGTCCCGTGCTCCAATGTGCTATACGCGAGTCTCCATGGATACCCTTGTACCCTGGCTGGAAGGCGTCGGGCCAGCTACGAATCCAAAGATGGACATGTAAATAGACAATTCACCCACAAACCACTCATGAGCTTGAGGCACAAAGGACATGCCTTGGATCAAACTTAAAATTACACTGATTTACATACTGTTCCCCTTTACTCTGGGCAATTATTTACTACTATAAACCAAGGGAGAAAAGGGGAAGTTACTCGTTGGTGGTGTTGACCTTGGCAGGACTGTGCCTCCCCGAGCACAGTATAACTCTCAGGGGCCTGACTGTGGGGTCACTATGCCATTATACACTGGGGGTAGAGCACCTACCTAGCTTGATAGCGAAGCATGAATTATTGGACATATGCTCTCCGTTTTACTCTTCAGCCTGGCTTTCATCAAACAGTTCATGTTTCTCCAATTGTTCTTTCTACTAGTAAACCCTCGCAGGCTCAGAGCTGCTACTGACAACTGCAGTTTCCCACAGAAGTGACAAGAAAACTGTTTTATGCTGGCAGTCAGATGTAGTCTGTCCTCAATCCATCGGAATCTTTCACTACATTAACATTTCACTTCAGCCTGATGGCCATGAATACCAATAGTGCATCTCTCTTCAAAAATACTAACGGAGGAGACTGCCGAAGCCTTCAGAATGCTGCCTATCATTCCCATATCAGAACAAACCCCATTTCTGCAACTGCTTGGTCAAATCTCTTGGCTTTCCTGGGCCTTTGCAGACTCATTTGTAAATTGAGGGAGTTACACTTAATGATTCAGTCAGGTCTCTGAGACTCAGGTCTATGCTGCCTGATGGGGGAAGTGGAAGAGGTTCCTGACTCAAGGTCAAATGCAAGCACATTATATAGCATTTCATTAAAAGGAAGTAACATTTTCAGAAAGCATCAAGTAAAACTACAGAAAAAGGAAAACTTTTCCTAGGGGTAGGTAGTTTTCATAAAGCAAATGAAATATGTTTGCTAAATGGTTTTTACTGAGCCTGATAAATTAAAAACAAACACTGGAACTCTGCAGTAATCACTAGGATAAATTTGGGTCCTAAGTGTGTTAGTTTAGAACACTTTAAATATTGGTTTGAGCCGTAGCCAGTTTGGCTCAGTGGATAGAGCGTTGGCCTGCGGACTGAGGGGTCCCAGGTTCAATTCCGGTCAGGGGCATGAACCTTGGTTGCGGGCACATCTCCAGTGGGGAGTGTGCAGGAGGCAGCTGATCGATGTTTCTCTCTCATCGATGTTTCTAACTCTCTGTCTCTCTCCCTTCCTCTCTGTAAAAAATCAATAAAACATATTTTTTTTAAAAAATATTGGTTTGAGGCCCTGCCCAGGTAGCTCAGTTGTTTAGAGTGTTGTCCCACTACACCAAGGTTGTGGGCTCATTCCTGGTCAGGATATATGAAGAATCAACCACTAAATGCATAAATAAGTGAAACAACAAATCAAAATCTCACTCTCTCTTTTTCTCTCCCCTTCCTGTCTCTCTCTCAAATCAATTAAAAATTGTTTTGAAAACAAGACATGGCATTTTGTTCAGGTTTGAGAGAGGGCTGTAGTGTCTGGCCAAGACTGCACACTCCTGAGAAGGCAGCAGGGAGACCATAACCTTTGGGAAGCAGAGAAGGGGACTCTGGCCTTGGTTAAGCTGCTGGTCTTCATCTAAAACCTGGCTCATCCCTCACCCGGAAGGAGAGCAATGTGCTCAGGGTGGGGACATGCTTCTTAAGGCTGGAAGCCCCCATCCTCAGCCCCCTGGGAGGACCACCTGCTCGATGTGCATGTTCTCCAGGAGCGCGCTCTGGGGCTGCAGAATCGGCAGGGCTGTCTCGTCATCGTCTTCATAGTAGCTGCACGTGCTCTTCCTGCGCTTCGCCTCCTCAACAGTGATGATCTGAAATGCAGAAGTCAAGTAAGTTAAAACAAAACAAAAACCAGAAAAACCCTGATGTCTGCTTTACCGTAGCCAGCTAAAACCAACCTCAGGTACACAATATCCCGCAACATGTGGAGTTTTAGCAGCAGGACAGAAATTGAACCGGGACTTTGGGAAATGGTTAATTTTTCAATTTCAGAACAAATGCAGAATTTAACATGGTGCAGCTGAGGCACTTAATATGTACAAATTAAAGTTGCAAGTTTTCCCTTTGATTATTGCTGTCGACTGCTCCGTCCTGGAACAAGAATTATGTGTAAACTCCACAAGCAACTTACGCCCTTGAACTGCCCCTAGTAATTCCCCTTTGACTTGCATCTAAATTTGAATTAAGGGACCAATCAGAGATCATTCTATGAGTAAGTCTTCTATAAATAGGGACATTGGGACGATAAGATACTTCTTTAAAATTAAGACTCCTACTAATGTTTTCTCTTAAGATTGTGCACATAACAACCAACCCTGATAGAAATGACAAATGGTAACAGCTACCGGAGTAACAATCCAAAGAAACACAAATTTAGTCTAAAAGACAATTAGGTTATGATTCTTTGTGTACAGTTCAGGAGCTAAAAAAGTAGTCTCTCCTTCAAAAGTGAGAAGTGATGCACACAACATTATCCCATTATAACTATGCTTATGAACTACCAAAATCAAGTTCACCTTAAGATGTTTTTTTTTCCCCCTCCTAAAGTCTGGATAAATCACTGAATTATTTTTAAATTAAAGACACAGATAAAGTGACTAATTCACTAAAATTCCTGCATATCAGTATTAATGACTTTTGCATTATAGAGAAAAACATTTAAGTTATACATAGTAAAAGTTGTCAGACAACGCACTACTTGATTTCCAAAATGCACAGTCATGGATATAAAGCACCTGCCATTGCCTGAGCCAGATTTACAGGTAAGGAAATTAGCTTACACAGGCTACCATCTTCTCAAGGGGAAATTCTTAAAGGAAACACTATCAAAGAATCACAAACCCAGCATCTCCAATGCACTACATGAAGCACGTATTTTTTTGTGAACTCTACATTTAACGTGGGTTCAAAATGAAGCTGTGGAAAGCAAAAATCAAATATGAACACTTTTACTCCAAAGAGAGGGGCAAACCACACCACACCCATCTTTAAAACCAATAAAATACCTGCTGGGGTTGAAATGCCTGCACAATCCTTTCTAATCAAGGAAGCATTTCAAAACACAGCGTGGCAGACCTCTGAGGATTCCCAGGCACCTCATTCGCTCTCGGGGACTCCAACGTACCTTCACAAAAGGTTCTTGGTTAGGTCTGGCACAATAGAAAATCTGAATGTCCAAGGGCAATCTTCGGACCCTCATCCTGAGGGTGAGAACTGCCTGCTTGCTTTCTAAGGAGGAACAGGTTTTTTCTCTGCCTGCTTTCACACCACGGTTCCTTGTAACCACGCTGAGCTACAACTGTTTTTGCAGTATCTCGTTTCCTGCATGGTTGGGTTTCTGTTTCCCTTAGGAGAGGGTTCAACATTTCTACAGGAACACACCCAAATTAGGATTGAGGACAAACACACACTTCCTGTCAGGCAGAGCTGGGAGGCTGTAAAATGACACTTTCACCTTTGAAACGGTGGTTTCCTAACGGTGGTACAACAAACCGCATTGTTTTCTTCTTTTTTCTTTTTCTTCTTAAATGCGTTTTCCTAACCGTCCTTTTTGGCTAAGCCAGCTTTCCTGACCCGCCTTCCCGGGCTTTTTTCAGCACCTTCTCTAAAGCTAAACCTCCATGTTCAACTTTACGTAATTTCCCTGACATCAGCTGGAATCTCAGGGGAAGGATGAAAGCGAGCCTTTACCCCAGCGAGCGAGGCTCACTGTACTTAGAACAATGGCATTTCACTTCAGTTCCGTGTGTTAAGTGTGCGCAACTTAAAAGAGTGGGAAAACATCTGCTTCATGTGAGCCTGGGGAACATGTCACTTTAGATTCATTTTTTTTCAGAACAGCTGGGGAAATAATTTTAAAAAACGCAAAACTTTTTACTTTTTAGGATATTATCTTTTTTTAAAGGTTTTAAATTTATTGGGGTGACATTGTTTAATAAAAGTACATAGTTTCAAGAGGACAGTTCTATAATACATCCTCTGTATATGGCCTTGTGTGTTTACCACACATTTAGGATATTAATCTTAATGACTAAGAAGCATGATGAGACGTGCTCTACTCCTCAGATCTGAGGTCAGGGCGTGGAAAGAAATGCAGAAAGCCCTGGCTCGGTTTTCAGTGATCTTTCTGTGCCAGACCCCAAACGGCCTTTTGGTCCTGCTGAGGGGATGGGCATAGCTCATCCTGGGTCGGATCCACAAAAGGACTCTGGCAGGTACCTGTGATCAGTCCCGGGCTCGCCAGGACTTACCCTCAGTGCAAGAGCCTAGGCACGATCTGGGGCAGAAGCACTGGGGTTCTGTGCCAGGGAGACGGCA